TTCCTCCCAGCTTGGGTGTGAGTGGAGCCCTCTAGTGGGTCGCCACACATTTTATCTTGAATGTGTGATCATTCTTTTCCAAAAACAAAGCAATAACTTGTAAAAGTGGTTTGGTTTATTCACCGCTAACAGTAATTGAATTCTTCTGATGAAAGGTTTAGTTTCAGAGACGATGATGCTTTAAAATTATACATTGTTGCATTCATAGGAGCGACCGAAAAACATGTTTTAGACCAAAACTAGCAATAATTTATTCAAGTGTTTCTGTTTCTGAAGCAGTGAAAATACCTAATAAAAAGCAAACTCACTTTCTCACAATGGGGAAAATGTACCGAACGTGCATTGTAGGGCAATGTAACTGTTCTATGGTTTACTTTATATTAGGTGAACTTTAGCATGAAACATTAAAGATACCCAAAAAAGAAACAAGACAAATACAATCAACTGCACCGTAAATCAAGGAACTATGAAACTATAGATGGGTACAGGAAATCTAATTCACAGAAGATTCACAGTTTGTCCTCTATGATTTTCTTCACAATTACTCTTATTACTTATGAAACATAATTCTATGCAACTTTCAGTTCTCAGATCTGTCAAAAAATCCAATAAAAAATTAGAAATTAGAGCTATGCATGTTGCTATGCTTTGTATTTGATTAAATATTTGAGTTTAGGGCTTAGTGGTTTTGATTTTCTTCTTTGTTTATTAACAAACTAGACTGTACTGCATCGTTTTTGTGGTTTATGATTGTGTTCTGTTTACTTACCCCTCATGTGTGATAGTGGTCTGATCAGCCATTATATATATCCTTGTGTCATTTCCTGTTGAGGTCAGTTATGTTTGTTTGGGCAGTCATTTGGTTTGTTAAGTTTGCAGTTGTTTGCCTGAGTTTAGTTTTGTTTCTTTGACCTCTTTTATGAGCTCAACATTTATTCCTTTTGCTTCTACTCCACTGTACTTTGGATGTAAGTATTATTCTTTGTACTTCATATTTATTTTAAAACTTTACTCATTATTTTGCAGATAATTTTCAATATTATAGGTTATGCTACACAACAATAGTAAAACAATCAACAGCTACATTGAACTCTCTTGCAGCACCACTGTTATCATATTAAATCTATAATGGAACACGTGAACCTGAAAATTGTGCCCACTGTTTTCTGTGTCATTTTCTACATTGACTTTGTTTCTCTTTAAATACTGTGCATTAAACCATTCATCTATCTTGAGAGAAAATTCTCCAAATACTGTAATGGAAAGATAATTTGCTGACAATATGGCTCAGGATTTTATCAGCAAAACACAAATTATAAGTCATGCTTTTCTCTTTCTTGGTACTTAGTCTAGTGGTGGTACCATAAGACCCAGGAAAAGTGTAGCGATAGGAATTTATGTTTAGCTTTCTGTTGGTTTATTTGATGTTTTAAATAAAATGAAAAATACATATGAGCTTGCTTAAATGTTTGTCCATCTTGGTTCCTGTGACCTTAAGTGTTCGGGCAAGTTACCTTGTTTCTCTCTTGCAAAACTGCTGGATGATCTTGAGTTCATCTTGAAAAAAACCTTCGCTGATAGATTCAGTGGACAGTGACATCATGACATCATTTTACAGTTTAATGATTTTCAATAATAGAATGCATATTTGTCGAACTTAACTTCTGAACGCTGTACAAAACCAACAAACAAACAAAGATAGCCAAAAAAAGTCTTAAAAGGAACAGAGTCAATCCCGTCTTGTTAAGTCTGTGGTTCTACCAAAGTCTTACCAAACAGTGCAAGAGGCTCTCTGGTTCTCCTTACATTTACTTAACAAGGCAATTATGAAGTATGTACAAATGCATAGAGATTGTATTCAAGCAATATATTTTATCACAAGAAGATGCATAGAGTATCCAGCATATAGCACAGGTCAGTGTCACCAAAAGATTATTCATGCTTCCAGACACAGCAAACACGAGTCAGTAAATATGCTTGTACACCAGTGTAAAAAGTAGGAAGTAAAGTAGTGACTTCACTCTCAAATCATGTAGAAAAATAGTTTGACTTTTCATAACAGTGTTTAAAATAACTTGTCTTTGGGCACACCAATTTAAATGAAGATGTGACACCGAAATGCACAAGTCGGTTGTTCGCCACAGTTATATGAACATTTGATCAGACAAAAAAAATCTCACTGTGCAGACATGTAGAAGAAAATATCCTAAAATACAACATTCATTGTTGTAACTTTTCTTTCACATTTTGTGCATTTAATGAGTTAGTTAATTGTCAGATAAGGGAGATAAACATTAATGGGCTGCAAATAATGATTTCGTTTAATTGATTAACCTGCCACTTTATACATTAGTAAATTTACTCTTTAGTCAATAAAATGTTCCAAAGATTCAAATTGCAGTTCAATAGCTTAAAGTGACATTTCCAAACTGATTGTTTTGTTTGGTTCAAGAACCAAGTTGACACAAAATAATGTTTCACAATATCAAAACAAAGTCACAGTAAAACATTTTAGTCTGATGTCACAGCTACTGTATACTGAATCAAAACATAATACATGTTTTTTGTTGTTGCTGCTATTCTGAATTACTGTAAACTGAGCATCTTTAGATATTGGACTGGTGGTCAGACAAATCCATTGGCTGCAGTGATCATGACAAATTAAAAAACCAACCTTAGTGGATACTGAAATTATATATGAAATTATTATCGTGAACACTAGACTAGAGCGAGTCATGAGTGTTCTGATGCAGTTTAACCTTGACCACTGTTTGTGCCAAAACACGTATGGAGCCGTAAGACTTAGGATAAAACATACAAAAAATTTTATCTTACAAGAGCTAAAATAAGAAAGAACCAAATGTGTGCATGTGGGACAGGGTAAATCTTTAAAAAATGAAATATGAGGAGAAACATTGACTACAAAGAAGACATAACCTGCCCTGCCCATTAGTGCATTATAAGGGGAGAAGCATAATTCCATGCATCAACCTGGAGTAGAAACAACAGTCACTAGTGTATATAGGAATCTCTGTGCCACTGTCGAGCATCTCTGTCTCTATCTCTATCCCTACCTCGATCCCTATCCCTGTCCCTTTCCCTGTCCTTATGTCTTTCTCTATCCCTATCTCTGTCTCTATCTCTGTCTCTATCTCTGTCTCTTTCTCTTTCCCTGTCTCTCTCCCGGTCTCTCTCCCGGTCTCTGCCTGGGTAGTGGTGGTAGCTGTGATGGTTGTGTGCAGTATAGTGATCCGTTGTGTGGTGTGTCCGTGGTGGAATATGCTGGTGATGTCTGTGCTGCCGGTTGCGCTCATTGTGCTCCTGTTCGTAGTCCTCCCCAACATATGGCTGGATGTTTCCACGATGATGTTGGTGGTGGTGGTGGTGATGGTGTTGGTGGTTACTGTTGTGATGATGGTGGTTATGAACCCGGAAGTTACAGTAAATCTCCTCCTCGTCCTCCTTTAGGACATCGTCCACCTCGCCATCCCTCTCCTCGGGCATGTACCTTCGAGGAGGCCTTGAGGCGTAATCCCTGCTCGACTGTATTTCCATGCCACCCGAAGGCTGGCTGTGCTGGGCGTGGCTGTGGTGCTCCGTCCGCCGGTGGTGGTGGTGATGGTGATGGTGGTGGGTGTGCTGGGGTCTTTTTGGCTCAGTCCTCAGGAGCCGCTCTTCCTCCTCTCTCTGGCCCTCCTCAGCGGTCTGCTCCTGAGCCGGGACTGAAGGGGGCTCATGGTCTAGATTGTTCTCCCGTGAGCCTTTCCTCTTAGGGGCACCTGACTTCTTGCTTTTCTGCTCATCCTAGGAAAAAAAGAAAGAAAAAACATAGTGTTTTCTGACTAAATATAACCATTATATCACAGATTATACATCTTACAAATTTAGGCCAGGAAAAGCTTATGGACAGATCTTTATGAAAGTTCTTTTTGTATTATAAATTATAGAACTTGAAATGGTAATTGGGGCAAAAAAAGTTAAAAATATGACTTTTAGACAAAATATTCTCATGAATTAAAAGATAATTGTGATTACATTAGTATAACTGGATCACCGGTTTAAAATGGTCATTCATGATGGAAACCATCATTTTAGCTTAGAATAATATTTATCTTCTTGTGTCTAATGATCTGGTCAAAACTGTCGCCGTAATTGACAGATATCTTATTTTTGTATGTAGTGGAGGGTGGAGAGCTTAAATCCACCATTACATTACAGGTCACGACTGTTTAATAAGTATTGCAAAGATCTGTGAGACATTTACTTTGATGTTTGACTTTTATTTTCTTTGTCAGTATTTTGTCCTCAAAAATCTATTTTCAGTTTGGTGAATAAAGACAAAGTTTCCATATTTACTGTAAAAACTAAAACTTAGTATATGCACAAGGTAGAAATGGTGCTGTTTTATTTAAAGCTCAATCGTTGAAACTGTATAGATGTGCGCAAGCATGAGCCTGATTTCCATAGCCAACACTCCTTTTTTAAATCATTTACATATTAAACTGTTTGCACCACAAATATTTATTTAAATCAATTAGGACAATGGTAAAAAAGAAATGCAACTTCACCAAATGTTAAGCTAAGAGATTCATCAAAGAAGAGAAGAAAAGTACATGTGTTTTAATTGCCTTAGCCTTAGCTTGGGATAATTAACTTAATTAAATAAAAGTAGGTCAGCCTATCAATCCAACTATTGCCTTTTGTTTGTATCTACTACAGTATTAGTCTATCTTTATATAGTCTGTGATATTTCTGTTGTTTTCTGTCATTTTCCCAGGAAGTTTCACAGCACTATTAAGTTGTTTCTACATAGATTACACTATAGTCATGGTAAACATGGTACTAACTACTGTAACTCATCTTCACTGCTACACGGGAGTGACAATAGAGTCTGAAAATATCTCACTCACCAGAGGTAGGCCTATCTCATTTCTTCAACTTGAAGTATGATGAGAGGAAATGAAATGAAAGTGTTAGATGAATTCTGATGAGATTATTCACAGTTCAAACATTTATTTTCCACACTCAGCTGTCTTTCTAATACATGAGATGAATGGGATGAGATTAGATGAAAGGAAGACTTTACATCTGGTTTTTCTTTGTAGTTTTTCTCTGTACTTGTTTGTGTTTTAAGTACCGGTATTACTGTAGGACTGGCAGGCAGTGTATTCTCAGCCAGCTGGGCCACCACTGCGTTGGCAGACTCCATCTCTGGCGGATGAGTGGCTCTCCAATAGGACTCCAGGTAATCAGCAATGTGCTCACAGGCATCCGATAGCTGGTTTTCATCTAAGATGACATCAAACATTTCCTACAGGAAATGGAAAAATTCAATTGAAAAGTGTGTAACAGTCAGGAGACAAGGGAAAATCTGTGGTTATTTTTGAGAATCACAAATAAGGTCTAAATGATGTTTCAAAGGCACACCAAAATCGTCAGTTATGTTGTTGTTGTTGGGCCCACAGCAGTCCCACTGGAAATAACGCATGTAGTATATATTCATACACTAAAGTAGTCACAATTCTGCCAACTTTTCTCATCTGCCACTAGATGGCACTCACTGGTGGACATTGAGCAAGCTTGTCTGCTGCCACAAGCTGAACATTGAGATGTTTGGTCTGAGACTTCCCCCTGGTCTTGATCAGTCTTGTCAACACCTGTTTGTCAGGAATCAAGAGAAGGAGGAGAATAAAAGAGGAAGTGAAAAAAGGGACTTGCATTTTAAAGTTTCTCTTTAGTATTAGTTCAAAACATTAAAAGAACTGAAATAGTCCAAAGTTCACGTTTAGAAAAATCATGTCTCATCGGATTCCACAGTCTTTTCCGGTGAAGCTTACTTTTGGTGAGGAGATCTTTACATAGACAAGAATTGGAGCCAGGGAGGTCTTGGACACCTGCATAGGGTGGTTGACGGTGTCTGCGTCTAAAATGACCAACTGCAGACTGCGGGCGAGCTCAAAGATACGCTCCACCTCCCCTTGGATCTGAGCTGCAACACCAGAAAGCAAAAGCAAGACTTTAACATCTAAAATCCAGGAAAGTTACTCTGTGCATGATTAAACATTTTAACATGTACAACAATAACACATCTTAAATATAACTTGTTTTTAGGATACGGATGTGTATCAAGACATACCAGTGACTTATCAAGACTGTATCAAGACAGTACTTTTATATATTTTATGGGGAGGCGTTCAGGCTTGATAATGTACAAAAAATAAATGTCAATATTAGTTTTAAGCACATCTCACTCTCACGTGCAAAACCACAGACTCTCTAGGATATGTGCTTATTATTATGTAATTATTGTCATCTTTTCTCTGCTATACCATTTCTAATATAGAAAATAAATGACTACCAAACAAAAAAGGTACACACACTCACTTCAAAACAAAACACATCAGCAGATTAAAACCTGCGTTAATGAAAAACATGCCATGCTTAATAAAACTTCTTTTAAAGGTTATTTGTTTTCATTTTCTTGGTGAGCTAATCCACGCGGTGAGTAAGACTTGTTACACTCATGGGAGTGTATTTAAAGACTGTCCACGAGAGGGAGCGTGAAGCAGGGCATACAGAAAATGTGGCTGCTTTTGTCCTTAATGAGTTATAGTGTTCACAAATAACAGTGAAGCACATGCATATCTCTCAACCCAGCAAACTGAAAAACTTAATAACAGTCGATTTCAATTTTAACGACAGTGAAGTCCACAAGTCAATGGCTGTATACATACAGAGTGTTAAAAAAGTGGCAGCTGAGACAGATGTGATGAGGTAATGATAGGAGAAGGAAAGTGGAGCATTCAAAAACACAAGGACTACCAGTGCTTTCAGTCATACATACCGGCAGCATCTGGGATGAGACAGCAATGAGAAAGACAAGAGTAGAGAAAACCAAACAAATTTTTATCACGCTTCTGTCTGATACCAAATATTTACTCTTCTAGGAAAAGGCGAGATTTGCACTATCCTAGTGCACAGTGTCACTGGGACAAAGACATCAAATCCACAGTAAGTTTCCAGTCAGTGTATAACCGTAACTGACAGACAACAGACTGCTTTATGCAGATCTGATGTCAGTGTTCTCTGTCATATTTAACTATTCATTTCAAACTCTTTGTCTTCATGGCAATGGATAAATTATTCTCTCACATTATGAATTTGGAATAATCTTTGGACCATATATAAAAGCAAACTCTGTGAGCATGAGCCACATTGTGTTAATGGGATAAAGCAAGCATCATATCAAACCTGGGTCAGACAGTATTGTTTCCTATTTTATCCTAATTAGGTTTCCAAAAGTTTTTTGCCGCCAGAGACCAAAAAAGTGAGTCAAAGAAGTGTAGTCAGACCACTGTCGTTTGAAATGATTGATTTATTACAGCAGCAGACAGTTAGAGCTTGATGTCCATGCTCTGAGCTCATAGGGATGCTTCTTTATCACTATGTGTTTCACATTAGAGTGATAAGTTAACATGCCCTGGAGCCTGAAGGTGGATGCTGGGGTGGTGGAGGGGTTGAACTTGCGTGCAGGGAAGCTGTAACACTGACATGTTAGAGGAAGAGATGCTATATTGGGACATTGTGTTTTCATATATGATGCATTTTGAGTGGCTTTCATGATTTTCTCCATTTGTTTTTGTAATTGATTTATTTTCTTATTGCTACTACTGCTTCAGTTGTCTTTATGCTGTGAATGTCAACCAGGGAAGCTGTTCTGGAGATGACAGGCGGCATACCTAAATTGGAGCGGGTGTTGGAGCGATCCATTAAGGCCTTTTTGCCAGGGTTGTTGAGGATGGATCGTTTTGCCAGTGAGATATCTGCTGTTACCCGCGTAATAGTAATTCTGGAGCAGAGACAAAATAACAATCGTGATTACACAGTTATGATTTTTGTTGTTTTATTTTATTTTGGGTTTTTTTTTTTCAAATAAATTATGTGATAGATTATGTGAAGAATTAAATCAGAACTTACCTGCCTTCAAATCGATGTTTTAAAAAGTCAAATAGTGCTTTTTGCATCATATCTGTAACCTACAAGAGGGAAACAAATAAAGTTACTCCAAATTCATCAAATAATTCTAGAGTTTTATATTTCTTCAAAAGTCAAATTAAGCTCACCTCTAAGCCCTTCAGTGATGGTCCCATTAGAACCACAGGACGCATTGTAGGCACTACATCATACATAGCCACCTGCTCCCCCTGTAGCAAAAAATAATAATTAACAAAAATCCCCCAAAGTTAGATTTTTTGCTTATGAAACAAGAGCTACATAAGGAACCCCTATACCCATTATCTATGATGATGATGATGCATGATGATCACAAGCTCAATTTTGGCTGTACTCAAATGCTTAAACATATAAAGAAGAATAACTTATTAACATGTTATTAATGCCACTTTGAGTATTAGATTTTGTTCTCATATGAGATAGCAACTTAGAAATTCATGAACTATTTTTTTAGCCCGTAATATACCAAGGTGATCTAAATGCAAGTCAAAAGTTCAGTTGAAAAGTTTCACGGTCCTGGATCGGTGACCCAGTGTTTTGAGTTTTGTACTTTTACTTTTGATTTTATCATGGATTATGACTGTTTGTGTTTTGGTTTCTGTCCTAGTATTTCTAGCTCCCTGGTTCTATAGTACTTGCTGAGTTCTAATTCTTAGGTTTTGTTGTTTGGTTTCCTGGTGTTAACTCTGTGCCCTTCTGTCCTACATTTCAGGTCTCGATGTTCTGCCTCCCCAGTCTCTGTTAAGTTTACGTGTCTAGAGTTCAGTTTTACTTTGAAGGTCTGTGTCTCATGTCAGTGTTTCTAGTTTGCTTCCCTTTGGTCTCGTCATGTCTCATTTCTCCCAGCTGTGCTCTCCTCCTGTGTCTCATTCCCCTCGTTATTCCCCAGTGTATTTAAGCCCTGTGTTTCTCTGCGTCAGTGTCATGTCGTCCCTCATGCTGTGTGTTTTCTTGTGTGCCTCTTGATGAAGTTTATATTTCCCAGCTTAGTTTAGTCCTGTATTATTTCCGTGTGTCAGCAATAAAGCTGAATTTTGAGTTATTCCCACGTGTTGGGAGTTCTGCATTTTGGGTCCTCTTCCTGCCTGTACACAGCTGAATCATGACAGCCAGTTTTACTGACGCTGTCAGTCCAATGGACAACACACATATCCTTGCTTTAGTCTGAAAGTTAGAGCAACACTTGTAAAATGGTACACAAGACAAAACCAAGGCTTCTGCATTCAAGAATTCACTGTATGCAGTGAAGATATGAATAAGATAAAATATGTTGTTGTGTTTCTAGAAAGCAGTGTTCTTTATAATGAGGATCGATGGGCTGACACAGATGTAAACAAAGTGTAAACACTTTCATCACTTACCGGCTTCTTTTTCACCTGCTGATTGGCTGCTTGTGCAGAATGACAAAATAGCAAACGTTCCACAGTTATTATGAATAAAAAAGAAAACATATTTATTGTTACTCCCTTGTATGCACATACTGACCTTGTGATGGAGGAGTATATTTCTTCGAGTTCATATCTTGAGCTGCCTGAGATGCAGCTTTGCTAAAATGAGAGGAAATCTCTGATTTAGTTGAAGTCTGCAACAACCAAACGCTGATTTTACCACACTCTGAATTTCAGTGCTTTAGTAATGATAAAAATAGACCACCATGTTTCTATGCAATGAAGGATTTTGGTGCTTAGAGACTGTGTGTCTATTTATAGCATAAGACACAAATATATGAAGCTTAGAGGGCAAATCCCTCAAAGTGGTTCAGCGCAGTTTCCACCAAAGCAACATTTTTAAGATTCTTTAGATGTGTTACAGTCTTACTGTGTCAAGTTCAAATCAATGAGCTTTTGCCTTCTGGTGAGGGGGGTGGGGGTGCAACCTTTTGAAGTAACAAAAGGGAAATATAGTCATCGCCGTTATAATTTACTACCACACATGATGACATGAAACAAACTTAAGTTAAACAACATAAAATACATAAAATAACTAATGTCATTCATACA